ACAAACATTATAAACTTAATAAAAATATATATTCCCATGGCATTTAGGGGTTGAAATGACAATAAATAATCTTTTAAAACAGCATGGGGTTTATGAGGGGGTCCCTGGATTTTTTTTACCCTTGTACGGGGTCCCCAGACCCAAAATATTTAACACATTCTCATGTCAGACTCATAGCATATTGACGATTGGGCATGTACCCCGCACATCCGTCCTTGCCACCCGCGGCTTTTCCGGGTTGCGTCATGTCTGAGGTTAACATGAGTGATCAGGATTAATAGTTAAATTTAGGGTTTTTGGTTAACATGAGGGATCAGGATGCATGGTTAACGTTAGGGTTTGTGGCTAACATGAGAAATGTGGTCAACATCAGGGAACACGGTTAACTTTAGAGGCAGTTGTCAGGGACGGGCTATATAAGGCTAATACAAGTTCAATTTTGGGTCTGGAACGGTTAGTTTCATGCAATTCTAGTCTTGTAAAAAYGCACTCGTCCTCCTCTGCCCTATCTCGTACAGTACAGATGCGCGGGGGGTACCCCCAGCGTCCACATATTGACGCTTGGTCAAAGCGTCAATACCTTGATGCAGGGGTCATGAGAATGGGCTCAAATGTTTGAGAACTCCTGCTCTCCTGTGGTAGTCACGTGGAGCTGCCTAAATGCTTGCTGGTACAAACCACTGCCTATTTGTACCTAGTTCCTCCCTGGAGCTCAGTCTGCAGCCAAGCTACCGCACCAAAGAGCACCCCTTCCCTGAAGCATTGTTGTGATGACGTGCTGAAGTGGGAGTGTCAGAAACGGTAAAAGGTTCTTAAAGAGACAAAGGCCAATTTCAAGGCATTTAGATAGACTGTAATGTAAAGTCAAATATATTTTTGATATATACAGCTTTTTCATAACAACTGAAGGCAATATGATTGTGGTATAGAAATGAAGTACCAATATGTGCCAGGAAAATACATAATATTGCCTCKTAAAAGCTTGTCCTGTCTCATTCTGAGCCTGTAATCATTGACTGTGTGATGAAATGGTTGATGAGTAAGATAAAATCATCAACTTATTTTAAATATCACTTGTAATATCTCGTTGTTAAGTTATTTTTGAGTTTTTGGTTGAGCTGGTCTCTGGCTGCAGCTGTTCAGGACTCTGAATGTCAGAGTKTCCAACAGATAAAAGGATTTTGCTGTGACTTTTGGTAAATCTGCAGCACTGTGCCATCCTGGATTTATCAAACTTTGGATGTACTCTGCAATTAGAAACTATCCTCTGCTACCATTTAAAATTCAAAATACAACATTCATACTTTATTTCTACATGTTTATTGTATTTATTTCTATCAATAACATTTTTCTCTCTTTTTTTTGTCTCTTTTCCAGAAGAAGGTGCACCTGGACCAGTCCTGGACCAGTTCTTCTGTGTTTGTCTGTGTCTCTTTCCTGTCCTCCAAGCAGCCGGTCGAGG